TTTGAGTTTCTTTTTAAGTCTTCTGTTCCACTTTGATTTATGTTATTCTGTGTTTTCTTAGTTTCTTTTGCATTTTGTGTTATATTTGAGCAGTCTTGTATTTTTTGAGTTGCCCTATTGTGCCGGTCTCCTTTCCCTTAGCTCCTTCAGGTTACTTCTGTCTACACCTGCTCCCTATCAGGTAATTAGTCCTCCCATTGTTTCTGTCTCACTTATTTAAGTAAACCTCCTGTTTAGTTACTCTTTGCTGGATCTTCATTGTTGCTTGGCTCCCAATGTGTTTTCCACAGACATCTCCTTGTTTTTGGTACTTTGTTCCTGGATTTTGTTTGTTGCCTTTTCCCATTAAATAAGCAAAATTAATCTCTGCTTTGTCCTCCCTGCATTTAGGTCCTCAATCAACCTTCACCCTTCGTTGACATAAAAAGACATAACACTTTATTTTCCAATAAATTCTTTATTAATGAAATCCATTTTTATAAAGTGTTAGGGTCTCTGGGGTTTTCCTTTTTTTCTGGTGTGAGTGAGCTTTCTGGTACAGAGAGGATCTTTGCTGGGGGCTGGGCCAACCCGCTTTGCTGTACAACCTAAGAGCATTTAAAGAGGTAACAGATCATCTATCTTTGTCGGATTGTTACCCCTGATTGTATTCCAGCCAAAGACCTAAACCAGGAATGACATTCTTGTTCAAATTTGGCCTCTTGTGAATCTCTTCTAATGTGGACTCTGTTATTGTTCAAGAGAACCAGTGAACCTCAGTTCGTCTCATATCTTCATGGAAAAGATCTTATCTGCATGCATCAGATCTCAGTCTTCATCACCTGCCTGACCACTCTCTAGTACGACGTGTCCTGCAAGTACCTACACTCTCTGATCTCACACATATTCTCCAGGACCTCTGAGGTTCAGTTTGCAAAGCCTGCTAAATCCAACCCCTACAGATCCATGCTACCTTCCCTTCATCTCTCAAGCAAATCAATCATCAGTTGTCATCAACCATCTTCTTCCTGATCAGCCTGCTTTCTCCCCTCAGACCAATCAGAAAGTTCAACTGACTTCCTGCAGTTTTCTGCTTCCAGATTCTGGTTGCTTTTGTTAAAAAAACATTAAAATGAACTGGTTCTCCATGTGATTCTGCATGTGGGTCAAAAAACTACAAACCAACATGACACTAAGCATAGCAGACAACTTCACAGAATTCTGATCCTTTTAAAAAAAATGTATTACAAGTCCAACTGTATGCTGGTACAAAGGTATAAAAACACTCTTTATCAACTAAGTATGTTTAGTTTTTTTCATACTGAGGAGAGAAGGCGAGCAGCAACCTTGAATAAAGTAAAGTATCACAAACAGAAAGACCTTGATTACAACAGAAAGTTGCTGATAAAACTGGTAAAAACAGAACCTTGTTCATCTATATTAATATCTGAAATGGAAAGCATTTCTTGTCAAGGACAAACATTGAATATACTGTCACTGGCAGAAGGGGAAGACAAAATGTCTACTACGCAGATTTAATCAAACTGATAACTTGGCTATTCACAAGGCAGAACAATGCTTCTTAAACACAATGCTTTTACAAAAAAAATCTATAAAAAAAATTTAAGGGAAATAAAAAATCTTGGAAGAACACAGAATATTAACTTATTGCAATTTTTTTTTTTTTTTTTTTTGCAGAGTGCAATTCCTTAAAGAAAGCACATCCCAGCTGACAAGTTTTCCAGTCTTAGATCTTTGCATGTTGTCAGACTGCTTGTGGGAGATTTAAAAACACCTTCAAAGTGTCATTTGTTCTGTAGTGGGACTTTACGTAATGAATCCCTGTGTTTATTTATCTTGTTTTATCCCAAAACAGCTTGTTTTTGTCTTTCTATATTCATCTATTCTTTAATAGAATAGGCAAATAGAATTACTCAGCGCAATATAATAATGTAGCTTTCATGGGGAAATGTTGGGGAGTTTCCACAAATCATGCATGTCTCTATTGCATTATTTATGCATGAAAATTCAACACCAAAAATTTAGAAATTTTAGAAATCCTCAAATCAGGAAATTAAGGTTGTTTTATCTTTAGCATCTACACATCACAGAGTTCAATTAAGCTTTTCCCTGTCACTTTTTAATTTCATACCATAACATGGAATCCATTAGCTACCTGATAAACAGATCTCTTTGCATATCTTTCTTATGTAGTGTGCAGAGCTCAGTTCCAGGACACTGATTGACTCATAAAAAAACGATTCTGCTTGTCTGGTCCTTTGAATCCATCTGAGGACTTTGTGCAATCGATTGTGCCAACTGAGAGTGAAAATACTGCAACTAATTCTGTAGTAAGTGCCTTATATTTCTGTGCAAGGAAGCCCTGTGATAATGAATGAGTGATGAATGCTACAATCGTGTGGATTTGACTACAAGGTCAGTGCATTGAAAAGGATTTAACCTTGGTAAAATGTCAGTTGTATAAAAAATCTGAATGTAAAAGAAAGCATTCCAAAAAATGGAGGTGTTTTTCTCTCATTCTTTAATGTAATTTGTACCTGACCATGGTAGCATTTTGTGTGGTGAGTGCTTAAAAAGGACTACAAAAGTGGAGGACAAAAAAACTATATCCGAAAGTCTGAAAGATTACTTCTGATGTTCTTTTCTTTGTGAACCTTCCAGCTAAAAGCTCACTAGAAATTACCTTTTTAGCTATTTTCATGCAGTCAACGGAAGAGACAGGAACAAACAGCCACACAGTAACAGTGACGAGAGATCCTACTACTTTATATAAACACAATACATTCAGAAGTCCCTATAGACTGCAGGTTTATGGCTGGAATGGTTGTTCAAAGTCAGTGGTTAGATAAACAAGAAAGTATCTATGAAAGCTGTCCTACACTGAAAATATTTGATTGAAAAATTGGTAGAAAAGACACTCATCAACCAAAGAAAACCTTTAAAAAACATGCATAGTGTAGAAAAATATTGCAAAAAATGCCTATCAGAGGTTTTTCCATGTCTATCACTTTAAATGCAACTGCAATACGAATCATCTAATGGCCCACAAGTGATTGACATGCACAGATCTGTGATAAAACGTGCAGCAGGCAGGGTTATCGGGATTAAAACCAATATGGATGCTACAAAAGGTTAAGAGCGTTTATTCCTTTTTAGGTTTTTCTGATGTGAGCTGGCCGTTTGCCAATGTAGTCAATGTTGTCCATATATACATCCCTCTTTCCTCCTCTCAAAACTTTTCACACATCAGTAAGATAAATGTGAACCTTTAGAGTGAAATTGCATAAAAAACAATAAATAGGTTTAAATATGAAAGTTTCTAATAGTCTGATGAAAAATAAAATCTGATTACTACAGTTCAACGGTACAGTTTAATAGGCCCTAAAAAAATAGACGTGGATCACATGACCAAGATGGTTGGATATGGGTCACTTTTTGTGGAAGTTTGAGGATACCCTATAAAGGGCCCCAAGAGATAATACTATTATTAAATGTATTCATAAGAAAGTAAGTCACATGATGTAAAATGCAGCCTCTCTGTATGTCAGTTAGCATGAAGTCCCACTAACTCTCCTCTGGCTCCTCATGTTTTGACTTCAGTTACAGCCATTTTCAATTCACCTACATAAGATGTTGAGACGAGAAAAAGCTGCAAGAAACAAAATGTACTCCAATTTGTGTTTAAAATGCATAGCTTCTCTAGATGTGGACCCCCCCCCCCCCCATGAACATCTGCTGTGAAGATTGTATCTATGTTCTGTCCTTACCTCATACTCCACATACTCCTCCTCCTCTACCTCGTAGGAAACAGTTTGAATTTTGACATGTTCGCCGTCCTCCAGCAGCTTGGTCTGAGGATCCTCCGCACCTGGTGTGTCCCCCCCTAATGTGTTGGACACCTCCTTTGCCTTTTTCTCAGTAAAGGTAGTCTCGCAGCACTCACTTTTGTATTCCTTAGCCTTGATGCTTCCACTGTCCTCCTTGTACAAGATGAAGTTAGGCCTGTAGAAGGCCTCAACTGCAAGATGCAGTGAGGTGGCATCCAGAAATTGCTGCGATTTCACCTTCCCATTGGTGCTATAACTTCCTCCACTGACTACATTTCCATTATTTACCTTTCCTCCGCCTCCTCCACCGCCCTCACCTCCACCCCCTCCTCCTCCAGCAAAGTAGTTAATAATGTTTTCTTGGTATTGGTTGTTGGGGAACTCTCCTCCGTAACCATTGACCATGTGCTTACTGTTTTTGTCCAGTAATGGGTTCTGCAGTTCGCTTAGGTTCTCCATTGGAATTGGGCAATTGAGTCGAACCTTCTCAGCACCAGGACAGAGACAGAGTTGTTGTGGGAGGAACAGACCCCTTAGTGTTGGGTGTTTATTCCAATAGTTGTTAATGGCATTAAGCACTCTAAGATCTGTGGAGGAAACACACAGATACAGAGATGAGAGATTTTACGTTCAACAGAATTTTATTTGACGTCTACTGACAGGTAACATTTACACCAACACATGCTCATATGAGATCAAAGTTAAGAGCTGGTGCTCTCCCAGCAGCAACAACTTTTATAGCCTTCTGCTTGTCGAAAACTGCTTGCTGCAGATGAATCCATTAGGCCTAATTTGCATCCTGGCTCAAGTCACATTAGAGAACATCCACACACGGAAAGGAGCAGTAAAAGCAGTAATACAGCGAGTTGCAAATCTTCTTTCCCTGTAAAAATGTCCACTCTTTGTTACATTAAAACCACAAATGTTAGAGTATTCCTGATTTGATAGCTGTACCCAATGCGACAAATAAAAATAAAAGGGAAACCATACGTACATGGTTGCGTATGGATTTAGCCTACAACAGTTGGGTGCTTTCATGTCTTCTTTTCATGTCATGGATTCCTCCTCCAGATTTTAACGTTTAGAGAAATTTCCTTTACTAATGATTTTAGGTTAATAATAGTGCCATGCATTTTACATTTTTGAGTGATGGATTAAACTGTGCTCAGTGAGATGTTGACATTTTGTGATATTATTTTATAACCCAACTCTGCAGACTGTCCACTACTTTATGCCTGACCTGTCTACATGAAGTTGTTTTTCTAATAAAGCCCTCTAAAACTCAATGGAGCCCTTCAGCCCTAAAAATTGAAAAAAGATTTTCTGATGCCGTTTTCTGCAGGGACATGTATTAGAGTTTGGTGTGTGCATGCAATTATTGCTGTCAAATTTTCTTCAGAATCACCATCTGATGCATTAGATATCACCTACACCTTTATTGCTTGCAGTTATATAATTTCCATTTTTATTATTCTGTATCTAATAATAATTGAACTTTATTGATCTCATATTGGAGAAATGTATTCCTGCATTTCCCGGGGAACAATGTGGGGTCTTTGCTCAAGAGTCTGTGGGAGTGTTGCTTGAATGCAGAACCTCGGGATTCCTAGTGCAATGCCCTAACCACTAGACTTCCACTCTCCCCAAAAGTATCTGGGACTTCTGCTTAAAAAATCATGGCATCTTTAAAAAAAATGTGAATTTATAAGTTTTTAATAAGTTTTAATAAGATAAAGATGGGTAGAGGTATTTCTTTCAATTTTTTCTCAATTATGTCAAATAATATTTGGCAATATTTGGTACTCAACTTCAAATAAAATACAGATTTAGACATACAGTTAAAAAAGTCAATATTGCAGCTGTCTACTTTAGATCTCTGTTGGTTGCGCAACCAACCCAACATTTAAAAAAAAAATCATGCATTAGTATAAGACCCATTAAAGCTGTTCCCATTCACCGCAGTTTTATAGCACTGGAAATTAATAAATTGACTTGATTAATACAGCAAAGCTCAACAGCCCTCTTTTATCTGTAGCACCACAGACCCAATCTAGAAAAGCATCCAGGCCACATTTCTGTGCTCTACCTGTTTCCATGCAGCATATAATAAAAAAATAATGGGTTTTCATTGTTTCAGCGCTCACCCCTTGACCCTCCTCTGATTATTCTGTGGTTAGCATGGGAATTCCAGACATGGTTTGAACCCCTGATTCCTGAACCCAGTCCTATATGTCTCTATTACTCCTGAATTGCCAAATAGTGCAAGGTAAAACATCCAGCAGAAGACAACAAGATTAAAGAAATTGGCCATGTGCTGCTGAGATAAATATATCCAATGGCTCAGTGGTTAACATAAGGTTCAGAGATCTTCTTTATCTTATACATAAATTATTATTTTCAAATATATTTTACTTCTAGTGAAAAAAAATAGAAAATTCATACCAACGTATTTTCTCTATTTTTCTTTCATCCTTGTATCAGCTCTGCATTTCATTATGTTTTCCAGATGGATTGCAAATTTGTTGTATAACTGTCTCCCATCTCTTTGACCTGATATTGAAAATGTGTGGGCTGTTTATGAACTTTAGTTTGATTTGTTTTTTAAAAGTCCTTTAATTATGCTGGCTCAAATTCCAAAAGGTATCTTTTTATAATTCAAGGGTTAGGATCAGTTCATCTGTTATCTGAAAGAAAGCCATCTCAAGGAAAAATAGAACAACAAAATCACAGCACACCTAAAGTCACATCCGAATCATAAGCCTAAATAGAAAATCTAAAGCTAGAAAGGAAACATACATACCTAATATATAATGCTGACACAAGGACACTGGGTAACAGGCTAATATTATTTATTGCCAAATTGTTTTTAAAGCATTACATGCTTTTGTAACAGCTTTTCAGAGCATATTACAAAGAAAAACATTTGTAATAGTGTAAAATAATAATAATATATGTTATATTGTAAAACATAAGATAAAAGCAGTTAAAAAGGGGTTTTCACCTGCATAGCAAACCAGCCAGCTAAAAGTTGTTACCACTGCTCTTAAATTACGCTGATACTCAAATTTTTCATGTACAGGTTCATATACTGGTTACACTGAAAATGATCAAGATTAGGCTGAAAATCAGGTCAAAGCAAGGAATTGTATTAAGTTGGATCCCCAGGTTTGGAAGCATTTCCAAATGGCTGGTCTTTATTTTTTTTACCAAAATACTTGCCATTATTGCTGCACTATTGCGCAGCGGCTAGGGGGTGGTGACCAACACAATTTTCCCCACCTAAAGCCTACAACATACTCCACAAAAATATGTTTTTGCTCCAGGGCTTTGGGCTGCTGTTTCTCAACACATTACTGGGCAGAACCTTTTTTTTCACTAGGTGTCCAAAAATAATTATGCTACAGATAATATATTACTATAGCTATAGATCCCCCCCATTTTCAGCCCCTGGAGTGATAATCAGCTGGCTGAGGCAGAAAGGATATATTAAAACATTGTAGTATATAGTACTATAAAAATAATCTCTTCTACCACCAATACCAAAAAGGCCTCCTTTGACGTTGAGTTAGAGTTGTTTTCTTTTGGGGGTGTGATGAAAGCTAGAGTGAATCTGGATTTCTATGAGTTTGGCACCTGAGCTTTTAGCAAAGTGTGAACACTAAAAGGCAAAAGGGAAGTATTTTCCTGTCTTTGCCACTTCGAGAAAAAGAACAATTCTCAGTTGTTGCAGAGTATGTAACTAAAGCTGCAGTTAACAGGCCAGAAAAGGAAAATAAGGATGAGAAGGATGATCAAGAGGTCTATATGTACATCCCAATTGTGGGGATGACACATATAGGTTGGATGGTGGCAGCAGTATGGTGGCAGCAACATTTTGTGGGTTATTTTTCTTTAGCAGGGACAGGGAAAGTGATCATAGCTCACGGTAAGACAGACAAATAAAAAGAAAGGAAAAAGAAGAAAAATAAAGCTCCCACTGGGATTTACTATCCAAAAGGACACTGATCCTAAATATATAAGTAGGGCTGCACTTTGGATTAAACTTTGCCTTTTTCTTGGAATTTCGATATTCCCAAATATACAAACAAGGAAGAAACTGAAGCAGGTAACTCCTGCAACTACTGTTGTTCTATCCTATGTAACTGCTGTAGTTATAGCAAAATGTAGTTTACAAGGCTTAAATGAAAATGCACACTGCTTTTTTTAGTTCTAAAATTTGTCTGCATCATTTTTACTTTAAATTACATACTGCATTTTTCATCAACAATACATTCCAATTGAAACATGCATGGCTTTAACCTCTCTGCCTTCTTTGTTTTAATTGCTTGTGAAACTACGCTTCTCTTCCCTTTGCTTCCCTATTTTCCCTCAAAGGTAGAATTTTTCTCTCTTTTTCAAAAACACATTAATAAATCAACAGCCCCAAACTCCCAGACATCCTAAAACTCTAGAAGCACTGGACAGCAAAACAACGTTTTCATTGTTCCTCATTTTCAGTCTTCCTGTGCGTCAGTGTGATGATAATATGCTTTTGATTAGACCATGCATGGCTTCAGGGCTTATATTCTCAAGCTGAACTTACATTTTTTAATAAATGTAATTATCAATACATTGTACAGCAAATGGGCAGGTGTTTACAATAATCTCTGCTCTTGATGCTACAGTCATTTAGATGCAGAGGTCTTCCTAACAGACTTAGGCATTGTTGTGGCGTGAGCATTTCTACAACATCATATATTATTGACACTGTTGGCCACTGCTGATGGATTTGTCTTTTTAGTATTCATCTTACATTCTTTTTATAGGATGTCGGTAAAATACTTTAGTTAAATGCTCCTCAAAGACTGTTCCAGTAGATGTAAATCACCTCTGTATTAGCATAGAGCAACTGCTCTGATTACCATAATCCCATGTTTGCAACTATGTAAATACATTTCTTCTAAAATTACCACACCATTTACATTTTATGAGAAAAAATGAAAAACAAACAATGAAATCTAAAGATCTTTAATTAATTTTTAGGGATCTGTATGCTTTGCAGATATGCCTTTTTGATTGTATTGGGCCCTTTTTTTTTGCATTGGGCAAGTGATTTTCATTTAATTTCAGAGGATATATGGCATCTAAATTCAGCAGTATTTGGTGATTAGTTGGCGAAATCAGGGGTTTGTTAGGATTTATTTATATTCATATTGGTAATCTTACCTTTAACATTGATAAAAGAAACCAATTAGTTTAAAAAGCCCAATTATCAATATAAAAAAAAAAAAATGTCTAATCTTTTCTGACCTAAACCATTAAATGAATTCCTTAAAGTGTGTCCCATCTTTACCTTGCCCAGTTCGTTCCCCTATGTAATTTATTATGTAAAGAAAAAGAAAAAAAAACACCCAAATGCTTCTAAATGTGTCTAAATCAACCTTTTTGCACATTTTGAAGAATTGCATTAGAAGATCTGGAGGGAAACAACATTTAAATAAAATGTTTCTACACTTGCTTGAGTGATTTGTTATTTTTTTTTTCTTTCTTTTTAAATTGTGCTAAAGAGAATATGGAAACCTATTTTTCAAATAAGTTCTGACGTAGCAAATACTCCTCACAACTGAAGGTCTATACAGTATGCAGCATTAGAATCACATTTCTTTCTCGACATCTCATGGTGGCATGAACCATCGTTAATACTAACTGACATTATAAAGTAAGTAAAAATTCCCCAATCGCAACTCATTCCTGAAAACCCTCAGTAAATCACAGATATGTGGTCTGTGTTAGCTTGCTAACTCCAGTTTAGTACATCCAAGCTTAACACAGTGTATGAGAATAATATACCTTGAATCGCCTTAATTTGCTCCAACAAATGGAAATATATCTAATTTGCATTTTCTTTATTTTATGACTTTTTAAAAAAGTTTGCCCAAAATTCGCATCACATTTTGATGGAATCATGGCTAAAGTTTTGGATTGTTCATATATATAACAGTTCCTCGAATGAGATGATGCAGAAAGTGCCAGTAATCAGCATTATCTCCAGCTGTAGGTTTGGAGATAAGAAAAGTTGTACCCTTCCCCCCAATGTGATACAGTAAAGAAGGCTTCAGTTACAAGAAAGGAAAATTTAAAAAAGGGTATGGTCTCAAAAACAAAAACAAAAGATCTCCTCTCAGATTATCATTATAAGTTTTAAAACCAGACTTGACAATCTATAGAAATCAAGTCTAGATTTACTGAGTTTTTACAAAATACAAAATTTATATTATTGACATTATTGTAACTAAAATGATGAATATGTTTTGTTTTTTCGGCAGTAATATGAATAATTCTTTAATTTATTGTTTAGATCAAATGAATTATCTAATGTTATATGAATATTCTTTATTAGTGCTCCAATTAAACCCCTTTGTTTTATTCAGGATTATCACATTATAAGAATAGCTTAACAGCCCATGTTCTGTGAAAAAAAAAAGATCCCGGATGAATGAGTATTTAAAACAAATAAATCTTAGTTACTCTGATATGATTTTTGGAACATTATATGGTTGTAATCTAAGTAAAAGCAAACATGTGTTCTCCTCTATAATTTGCTGTTTTAATATTGGTTGGACTTGTATTCCATGTCATTATATTAGGATTTAAGAGGAAATATTAAGGTTGTTGTCATACAACAAAATGTCTTACTGCTGTAATAGTTGTTTAGAGAGAGGCATTTTGTTTTCCTGCAAATGGGAGTTAAAGAGAGAATAAGACATTTTAGTGCCTACTGAGAAATGTAGGACACCTTAAAACCAGAGAGCATGAAATTCAAAAAGGTAAATCACTGAAATTTATATTGGCATCTATTTTATTTAGAAACACTGAGCACATGTGGCTGTGAGGAAATATACACGTGTGTGTGTGTGTGTTTGTGTGTATGGATGTTTTTTGGCAAATAGACTCAAAGAGATGAGGGGATAGAGACAGAGATCACAATTATATGTGATTCTCTGGTTGAGTGCATTCAGGCACATTGGCAGACAGCAGAGGCGGCGAGGAATAAAGAGCCGAGAGGTGCGGCTGAAAGCGAATGAAGCAGAGCAGCCGTTTTTGCAAGAAAAACAATTCGGAATGACTAAGATGGCCTGAGCGCACGCCTGCCTGCTGCACTGCAGCTGCGTGAGAGGTGCCTAGAGCTGTCCGCCGATGGGGTCCAAAGATTAGTGCACAGCCTGTAAGTATCTAGGTGTGAAAAGGGTAAGATTAAGAACATGGCATCAAGAACATCTGAGTGCTGCCAAGCAATTAGACTCTAGTCAGCATAGCCTGTTTCCCTTTTTCAGCCTGCTGCCAATCAAGCTCCAACCTTTGACCCCAGAGAAGCAGAAGGCGTGTATTATCAACAAGGCCTTGAGGCAAGCATCCGAGGGAGACAGCAGAATACCAATGCGCCTTATCTGTCTAACATGTTTACCAGTACATTTCATCCTCAGTTTCGCTACCACATGTGGAGATCTGCTTGCTACGCACCACGACAGCTCCTTCTCTGTGTAATTTAATTTTAGAGATGTTGAACGTCATTTAATGTGTTTAACATGGGCAATGGCACATAGTTAATGATGACTGGAAATTGTGATAATTTACAGGATTAAAATGTTAAAACATTACAGGGCAAATTCATCTGAGAATCCTGCACTTTGCCTCAGACCTGGAAAATCTAAAAATCTGATGATGGAAAATGATTTATTAGGGGATGTGCTTTACTTGTGTTGACACATGCTTTTATGAACTATTATTATCATACTAGACTGTAAAATATAATAGTTACCTGAGCCACAGTGGAGGTCGTGGCTATCTGCAGAGCTGATAATCCTCATACTCTTCGTGCATTTCCCAGAAATGTCAGGAACCTCTAGAGTCTTCAGGTCACTCTACTTTGCACTATGTATTTTGCACACCTGTGAGTTATCTCTGTCACATTGGTAGGGAGAATACAGTGTGAGGGTGACAGCAGCAGCTATAGACGCTTTTGCCAGACTGGTTTGTTGTCTATGATGCAGAATGTGGCTGAGTTGTCTTCATTGCCTATTGATCGTAGACTTCAGGAGGAGATGATAAGACACCAGCATTTAGACAGGGTCATTTGAGGTGTTGGATGGACAAATAGGTATAGATTGGGCATTTATCATCTTGTTGGCTCATGCATCTCAGATTCAGGTGACAGAATTCAGTGCAGGTATTCGCCGTGTGGCTCTGTATCCAGGGTGCCTTTCCACTGGGGAGTGTTACAAGTAGACCTGTTAGTGGAGCCCTGATCAAACTTTTGTTGTATATATTTGTATGTCCAGATAATGTAGATTTCGCATCTTTAACATACGCTTTGTAAGTAATGTAAATAATTAAGAATGATAATGGCAATTTACTGATTTTTAGAGCATCTGGTGTACGTAATGATCTCTAGTCCAGATTCATCAGCCTGGACTGAATCCTTCTGACAAATAAGTTCTTTACAACACAGTTTGACAAATATAAAACTTATGTTATTTGTTCAAACGAAAATAAAATAAAGGCCAATTAAACACTCACTGAAGTCATAGTAAATATTGTAAACAATTTAACCCTAAATTATATGAAACTGTAAGATGTTAAATATGAAATATTTTTGTTCAGTCAAATGTCTTTTGTGATCAGACATAAACCAGCCATCTTGTAAAAGATTAGAAAATAATGAAATACTCTAAATATTCCATCTTTTTATTACCATATTTCTAAAATATGGGATCTCTTACTTCTACAAAAATTATGAAAAATGTCTACCAACACCAACCAATAAATCCTTTTAGGTTTTCCAGTGGTACTAAAAATGTATCTTTGACATATGAGGCATATGAGACATATTAGGATGGAAGACCTCCTTGCCATTACCCTAATCTTGAGCTCCCTAAACAAATTATCTATCAGATTTAAGTTGGAAAATCCCCATTGGGAACCTTAAGATCCCGAAACAATGACACTAGTCACGTTTACATTTTTTCCTTCACCGCAACTTTCCATTAAAATGCCTGGATACAGCACTGCTGCTGTTTCAGGCAATTAAATGTGGTGGCTCACATCCTTGTAAAGAATCTAGGCAACAGTCTGATTAATGATCAAATATGACAAAGATAAGCCTTTAAATTAGAAACACTATATACTGGATCCATTTAAGCATTTAAACAGAATATAATGCCAAACATTAATAAAATGAAAAATACTTTTGGAAGAAGAAAACCCTACTTTCTCTCGCAAAAATAATTTATTTTCTTACATTTCTTTGTTCAGGTAAAATAAAATCGTATCACTGCCCAAACACGTGTCTATGCATTAATATTTAGATCATATTACACAGAAATGTTCAAGCAATAGAAAGTTGAAAAACAAAAGAATGGGGTATTAGTTGCAGCAGTCGCAGGTGCGAACTGTGTGAGTTCTTTATTAACACCCTCCTCCACCTCCTCCATCACAGGGGACCCAGTGCAATGCGACAGATATGGCCCCTTAATGAAATTAATTACTTAGAGATGAACATGAGAAGGCAAACTGTGCGTAAAAGCAGCGCGCGCTCCACACATAAAGCCTTATTATGAGCGCGCGTCTTCCAGCGTTTATCGGGAGAAAGATGGATGAATAAAATTCATACCTCTGAGCCCTGGCAGGTCCAGATGTCGTCTTAAGGATGGAAAGACTCGCTTGTTCTCGCCCGTACATTATGGCAGCGAGGCTGGCGTTGTCCTCCACAGAAAGAGACATGTCTCTGACTTTCTCATTTAAAGAAATAGCGCATCACTCCGGGCCAAACTGCTCTCTCCACTTCGGAGGGGAGAAAAGAAACGCCTCCCTACGAATATGAGCTTCTATCTCCACAATAAACCGAGCTCTTATGGAATATGTGTCCCTCCTGAAACTTAAAACAACCCTCCGCACAAAAAGAGAGAGAGGGAGTGAAGAATCGGAGACGCGAATGGCAATATGAGGAGTGGAAGTGCGCGCACGGCGAGTTGGAAACAAGACGCCCGCCCAGCCTGCCAGCATTTACTGGAACTGAATTTACTATTACTTATAGATCATCTACAAGCTGTCACGACCTATAGATCTGCTGATATTTTGTTACTCTGACTCTGTAAAATCAATCAGCCAACAGCTTTGGGAAAAGGAATGAAATGAGGAAGAAAAGTCCGAGCGAATCTAAGTTCATTAAAGTGACAGGTGATCAGAGTCGTGATTGGGCTGGACTGTCATCTCATAGTGGGAGAGCTTCAGGGCAGACAGCAGCAGAGCCGCTGCAATTATAGAGAATGGATGGTTGGGAGCAGACGGCTCATTTCATTAGCTTGAATTTATGCATCCAGCACTTCAGAAGGCAATGCTTTCTTTGTTTTCAGAAAAAAACAAGAGAACTTAAAGCTTTTGGGTAAAAGATCCCAGAACAGAATTTAGTGATAAGTATTTGTGTTCAATGCTCTTTTTAGGGGGTAGGACCTCTTCCTTGTCTTTAAATTCTCCTTGATTAAAATTCAATAACAGTTCAAAAACATCCCTTTTAGATTTTTAATCTATTTTAGAATGACAGTGTGATTTTTGCTAATAATTTGTTTCCTGTTAATCTATGAGTTGAGCCCCTTTTTCCACCCCAGTGAAGCATTGAATTCACTGATGTAAAAACACCGGTTTCAAAGTATCAGTTTTTTTTTTTGGTGACATATTTAATTATCATTCTGCAACACAGATTAGAATAAAACAAATGACCCAAAACAGCCATTGAATTTTGCTTTAGGATTGCAGACCCTTCCACTTCTGTCATTTCATTTCTATTATCAAAGTATTCCAAAATTGTTGTGTTGTCCAGTCCCTTAATCTAAAAAGACTCAAAGAAAGTGAAAATTCTAAGAAGAATGTATTTAAGGGTTTCCTTCCTGCAAAATTGGCTTTAGCTAGCATATATAACCCAGCTGCTGCTTTCTCCCTTCAACAGTTGAACCTTTAATGAATTGATAAATTTATTTTTGACTGTTTTAAAGAAAATTCTCAATAGCCAGAATGGTGAGAGAATTTCTTTTGAATTTCAGTTTGATTTATGATAGTTTTGATTCTTCTTTAGTGCTCCTTGTAGCGAAAGAGATCAATTAGAAGTAAAATTGTAATAGTAATTAAGACTCAGGCCACTTATAACCTGTCAGCAAAAAGCAAACAAACTGTTATGAAGATAATACATAACATAATACATAATAAATAACATGTGTATATCTGCTTTTCATATTTTGATGATCTGGATTCCTCAAAGCTGTTTTCCAGATTATGTTTCTGGTAACACCTGAAAGTTAACTGTTATAGATGTATCATAAATTGCTGCTCTAGATATGATTTATTGTGAACCAGGCAATACTTTGAAAGGGGCCTGTAAAAATGCTGGCAGAGGTCCCTTTCGGCCATGTCAGATGTTTCTTACACAGTTGTTTACAGTGGATCTCAAAAGTGTAAAAATGTGATACAGCACATAGCTTAGTAGTTAGAGCGCATTACCCCAATAGGCATTAAATATAAGTGGGTCTTCTTCTTTGTTTTAAAAAATGGGATGCTTTATGTTTTGTCTGCCTGCCTTTGTTCCTGCCCTCTAAAAAAAAAACATGTGGGTTGTGAAGCCACTGAAGTTATATTCTGGAAAAAAATATCTCAGCAAAGAATATAACACCTTAACTCATTAGCACATGGATCAAATGTACCCATATGTTACAGGTTGTCAGGCGGCAAATTCATAAGCCCTGTATTTGAATTCCATGAAGAAAATAAGTAATTACTTTAAGTGTAAAACTAGGTCACAGATGAATCATCTTCATTTAGGAATTTCCTTAATATTTTTTACATCAGCTGTAAAAACATCTTAATCATTTCATTTTCTGTTAGCTGAAGGTATTTATGCTTAAAAGGTTCATATAAACTTAATGAGAGCAAAAGACGCTCATTAAAAAAAAGCTAAGTCTTATTTCTATATAAATCTTTAATTTGAGCTGAATTAGGTTGTTTGACGCTATAGAGGAAAAACTGTTTACCTGCATTAAGGGACCTTTTTTGTATAGACATTTCCTTTCTTTGGTGTACACTAGACAGTTTTATGCATTTGACATTTAGACCTGTACATTTTAGAGTAAGAAAGAAAGAAAGAAAAAAGGGGAAGAAGGTCAAGAAATACCCCAAGAGAGTTTGAATCAAAATAGTGTACATCATCACAAAGGTTGACCAAGAGATAGACAATATGTATGGAATAAAAGAGGGCAAGCACAATGGGAGGTGGCACTGACAGGCCGTGTAATAGCTTGAACGTTCTGTAACATTGATCATACCTACTTCTGAGCGTTTTCCTCAAACCACCCACTGTTCTTAGACAGCCCTCTAGAGCTTTCTCTTTCTTATCTGTATTTTTCTTTCAGACTTGGTGGCACTGCAATCATTTCTGACAAACAGATTCACATCCACTGGTTGGCTAAAGTCTTGGCCTCATCAGGAGCCCATCAATCATTGATAACTTTTCTTCCTTAGCTTTACTCTTTTTTTGTTTGTTTGGCCAACCAGATCCTCCACTACTTTTTTTTTGTTGGGGGGGTGGGGGGGTGCTACCCTAGCTACAGGCATCCCTTGCAATGCTGCAGAGCTGTGATATTCAATTTGTTTGTTTTGAGAAGACTCCAGTTCCCTTTTCCTTAGAACATTAGGATTGCAAATGGATATCCCTAAGCTTAGTAGCTCACCGGTCTGTTTGGAAGCATGCGGATGGCATTCTGGCATAATGGCAAATACATGGAGAGAATTCCCTAAGAACTGAGCCACAATAGTCCCATAAAAACTCACTGCTCCCTCCAACCTTTTTCTTGTTCTCTTACCGTGTCATTTGTCACCTTTACAGACCTTTTCTGAAATGAGTCTTGAAGGCAGAGGGCTCATCGACAGCACAGTGCTTGATTCCAACCTCTGCTTCTCCATCATTTTCTGCAGACAATCAGTGGAAGAAACAGAAAAGAATACAAATGAGCTGCAATTTTTGAGGATACAAAACACGGCTGACAAGATGTTATGGAATCTGGAGCTAATCATTAAAAAGCTGCAACATTTTTAGACTTAAAGCATATTTGATTTTCATGAATATGTTTCACAAATTAGATTTTTATTGGCACATTTAAAATCTTGATACATGTTTATATAAGGTATTACTGGATCTCACAGACAGTTGATTGACAAATAGTCACTCTTAGTTTTCCAAATAAAGAAACTAGGCTTACATTCCTGCAACACATTTTGCTTCTTCATTGGTGATACAATCTGCAAAATAGATTGGATGAGCTTCATGTTATTACTTTGGTGACTTGGAGTATAAAATGATCAAGGTTTTGTCTTAAGCTAAACATCACTCTCTGTTAAATGAATAAAACTTAAACTGTCTGTGTTTAATTACTTAGCTAATCACTGGGTTTTATTGTTGTTGTTTTTTTAAACTTTTGATCTGATTGAACATGCAGGGGCCCTAAAACTTGCAGTTGATTTTTGTTTTCACTTGCATTAACTCAATATAAATCCAAAACTGCTCATTGGTTTCCGCGAGCAGACTTAGTTGTTTGCATGCTGGTGTCTGCTGCAGGAATGCATTTTTGTTAACACAAATAGAAGCAGACAATAGAATCATCAGCTTTATGACTTCTACCACCTCTAACTGGGTAATAATTGAACAAATATCAAAACAGATGCTGTTGCTTTGAATCCTATGAGTACAGATTTTATAAGGTGAAATTCTGTAAAGTGAGATCATAGATTTTTTGAGGGTAGTAGGGTACATTTTTCTTTATTTAGAACTTATAATATTAAGTTGTAGTTTATGGGAGAAAAACATAGCTATAATATATATATAAAGACTTTATTTTATAAAATATATTGTTGAACATGTAATAGCTCATGGTAATATGGTTAATTTGTTTTAAATGCTTAAGTGATGGATTATTTACATGTAATAAACTAGTTTTTGTCTGGGGAAAATTCAAAAAGGACGTAAGGGTGAATTTGCCCAACAATGATAACTGATCTATAGCCAATGCAAAAAAAAAAAAAATAAATAAATAAATAATAAAAGCTCTTTAGGGAGCTATAAAAGGATTCAATTTTTAGGGTTTTATGTCAAATATACCAAACATAATCTCAAGCTTCAAGAGAATCTAACAAATTGTTTAAAAGCAAAACCAGAGTATAAACTCCCTTATTGAGTTTTACATTTAAGTGATATTTGAAAAGGATGATAAAAACTATATTTGTAAAAAAAGAAACATCTATGCCTGACAAGACAAATTGAGCCTTTTCCCTGATCAGAGATGACTTAGACTTAGACAACTTTTATTGTAATTTTGTATACACAGANTCATCAGACTGCCTAGTTAATCAAACTGTCCATCTCTGCAGACATCAGTGAACCCAACCCGGACCGGTACCTGATCCAGTTCTTGTCTTTGTGTCTAACATATTCAATAAACTCTGTTCAACTTTTTACTCAGCCTCCGTTTGTGTTCTGCATGAGGGTTTAACCTAGAACCAATCATGACACATGGTGGGTGTGTGAGGGATTATCGATGATTTTACGGGCTCGGGACACGCAGCGCTGGGATGAAATGTCTTTTATTGAGGTAATAGGATCCCCAATGATCCTCTCTGCTGTTCTTACCATTCTTCTCACCTTCTTCCAGTCTGAGATGCTGCAGTCTCCACACCACACAGTGAGACAGCTGGTCAGAACGCTCTCTATGGTGCTTCTGCAGAAGGCTGTGAAGATGAGTGGGGGCAGCTGGGCTCTCCTCATCCTCTGCAATCATTGAAATCATTTAAAAAATCCCCCGAAGCAGAGAACCTGATCAGGAACTTTTGCAATGAGCTCTGACCTGTGACAATTCAACCTGGAGAGACTCACACACAAGACAAGTGGCAAATAGAAAGATTTATTGATGATCTGGTAGCTC